AGTTGTAGTTGGGCACAACATGTTTATTTTACTTATTTATTTTTATATGGTGCTGAGGATGGAACCCAAGGCCTCACACATGCTAGGCAAGTGCTCTACCACTGAGCCACAACCCCAGCCCTGGGTCTTTATTTCTTTTACAAATCAGCTTTGAGCTTGGACTCTGAGCACTTTTCTAAATGTGTTCAGATTAAATCAGAAGGAAGTGAACACTAATCCAGGCCCAAAGGACTTTCCTGCTGAGGGGTTTGAGAATCTTCTTTTATAGTCTCCATCTAGAAGAACCACTACTTTCAAAGATTCTCCTAGAGAATCAGCCATTTAAGATCACCCTGATATCTTTTCTCTAGTATTGGCATCTATGGCTCATCTTCACCAGGCTCTTGGTCTGATGGTATGGCTTAATAGAAAAAAATACAAGAACAAGAAATATTTCTAAATTCACGAACCCTCACAACCTGAACCCTAACTCCTTCTTTATTCCCCATGGGGGAAGAAGAAGCCTCAACCTTGCAATTAGCCTGGAAGAAATTGCAGTTCTTGAGCTTCAGGGAAGGGCCTGTGCTGAAATATGTGAACCTCCAGTAGTGCCATCTGATCAACCAGAATCACATCCCCTCCATGCTTGTAATCAGACTTATAGTCTTATACTTAGACTTATACTTAGCCCGAGACATTAAGCAGTTCAGCAGAGGAGAAGGGTCTTGCTGTTATTTACCAAGAGCTCCGCTGGCTGATCAGGAGCATTGATCTCCTTGTATTTAATTCTCTGTAAACACTTGGAGCCCCAGCCCCAGCTTAGTGCTACAGAGCTCTGAAATGGAGCAGCTCTGTGCCCCTCCCTTTCTCACCCCATTGCACACTTGTGATACAGGAAAACTGCTATTTCTCATTTTCCTTTGACATTTTGGCTTAGCACCTCAGGATGACATAACAAAATGCTGATATCCCAAATGAGCCTCTGTGAGTCTCTGATTGCTATGATGTCCTATATTATAGTGTCAATCATCCCTTGATTTGTAGCCAAGCAGAAGAGTGGCCCTGGACCTGTCCCCATGTTCTCAAGCATAATCCATGTCCAGAGAGAGAAAGAATGAGATAGGGAGGACATTTCAAAACAGCCTGACATGTGGAGAAGACTGCGAAGTTTGGAGGAGGAATGCACCAGTATGATTTAGCAGCAGGATGCATCAGCCAGGCAAGCTGATGAGCTCTTCGTCTGCACAGAAAGGAGGAAGGCATTTAGAAAAGGAGTATGTCCCTCTGTGCCATCTTGGAAGCCCGGCCTTCTCAGCAAGATCACTAAGGAAAAGAGAGACAAACTCAGCTTGTTCACAGGAGGAGGACCAGGATACCAACAGAATAACTATAGCATGGCTGGAGCAGTTGTACCTTCCAGTGCTGCTCACAGGCGCTGACTGCCGCCCATCCCCTGACTTACCTACACACTGACCAGCCCGCCCACCACCAAGCAGCCTCTTCCATACTGGTCATTCACTCACCTCAGCAGCAAAGGGCTTCCCACTGATGGTGTGCTCAGAGCCACGGGGGTCATTGCGGTTCCCCCAGTGCAGGTGCAGCTGGGTGGCACTGTATCGGTGGGAATGGAGGCCCTGGATGTGCATGTCTGAGCGCAGGATCAGTCTCACTGAGGAAAGGAGGGGCAGCCTTCAGAACCCTACCCAGCACCAGAGAGCAGTCAGATAGGTGACCCCACCCCGGGTCTGGATGGAGTGAGTGGCTGCAGCAAGGTGCAGACTAGAGAGATGCAGCCTGCAGGTCAGAAAACTGACCTCCTCCCCAAGAACACCCCATTCCCTAAAGCAACTCCAGCACCTTCAGGGTTCCTCCTGGAAAGTGATTCTGGAAGCACTAACTCTAGATCAGTAATGGATGTTTCTTTATATATCAACACCTGGCTATGAAGATAGAACGTTTAATGAAGCACCTTCCAGGCTTTAGATTTATATAACAACAATAATTTCTATTTGTGAAGCATTTATTATATGCCAGACCTTGACACACCTAATCTCTAGTCTTCTCAGTACTCATCAATATGTCCATTTTCCAGATGAAAACTCATGGAAGTTTAAGTCTTACCCAGAATCTGATGGCTCAAAAATAGTCAAGCCAGGGTTCAAATTCAGGTGTGTCTGACTCTAAAGCCTGGATGCCCATCCCTACAACAGAACTGTATGGTCCCTTGAGCAGTTCATAATGACCCCAAATTCACTCCTGCTACATCCAGTGGACCCAGAAGCTCAGGCCTGTCTCCTCCCCCATTCTGAGAGAAGTGCTTCTTTTGTCAGAATCACCTGAATCTAGCATCCCCTGGAGAGAGTGAGCCAGGCAGACCTCAAAGGTTCCCCTACCAGGTCCCATCTCCTGGATGACTCTGCGGAGTCCCTCCATGCCAGGTGGAAAAGGGCAGGCCAAGGAGCCAAGGGAAGCTCAGACCTATCCCTTCAGGTCTCCAAGGTCTCTCACTCACCTGAGTGGCCATCATTGGTCAGGTTCAACTGCTCATTGGCAGACACATTGTAACCTTGGAACTCTAGAGGCACAAGGCTGGCATCATACTGGAGGATGTCACCATGCAGGTCGATTGGGGATTGCAGCAGGCCCCCACATAATGGGTACTTCTTGGACCAACTCTTCTCCCCATTAGGACCTGTAAAGAGAGATTCAACCCCAAGATTTAGTTTTCCACAAAGCGTTTTTCTTCTTCTTCTTACCCCATGTTTAATACAATTACTCCAGCCTCTTTTCTTGATCCCCAAAGCTAAGCTGTTTAAGACCCAGAGATCTCAGCCTACAGAATCAGATACAGCAAACATCTCAAGACCACCTGCCATTGAAGTGAAATGGGGAATGAGGCTGGAGATGTTGCTTCGTGATAAAGTGCTTGCTTATCATGTACAAGGCCCTGGGTTTGATCTCCAGTAACATGTTTTTAAAAAAAAAAAAAAAGTGATGTGAGGAATGAAGAACTAGAGCAGCCCATGTCAGAGTCTCGGGCTTCCCCAACTCAGCTTTATTTTGCACATAGTTCTTATGTTGACACAATACACATTCTCTCCACGTGAAGACTGTTGGCTTTCAGGAATTTACCATCTGCTTATTGAGAATTTATTATGAGCCAGGAACTGCTCTGGGTCTTGGAGCCATCAGGTTGAACGTCAGAGCAGCCCTGCTCATCCAAGCTGGCATTGTAATGGGGAAAAACTTTGTGACGCTGCTGAGCTGTGCCAGGTTTGGGAAAAAATGGTATTTGACTGACCACAGGTCCAGGTAGGATGTGGATTTACAGGTGTGACCTTCCTGATAGGAAATCCTTGAAGACGCTGACTCCAACCTGACAGGGATGCTTGAAAAATGTCAAGTACAGGCCTGGAACCACGGAGCCAAGGTTCACGGAGCAGGGTTTCCTCCGGAGTAACATGAAAATACTACAAACCAATTATTACAATATAATTGACAAATTATCAGTGATGAGGAACAGACTTAACAGAAAAATCCTCCAGGGCTCAAGCTTCTTGCTAACTACCAGATAGTAGTCACTTCTCTGGAAATGAAAATAAACATTCCATGTTCAGATAAACTATCCTACTCCCACAGGGAAAATCTTTAAAGAATGTAAATCTGGTGTTTAAAAGATTATCTCCCATGGTAATTAAACAGATTTTCAAGCTGAGATTTCTCCAGAAAAGCAAATAATTGGCGTGTCATGGCTCGTTAGGGTAGAATCCATGGTGCCCTGTTGAGTTTTCTCAGATCTGGGAATGAAGCCATCTGGAGTCCATTCATCAGAATGTGGGCACAGGAAAGGGTATGAACTAGGTTAGGGGGAAGGAACACCCTTCCATAGAGAATAACACACTTCAACAGGAAACCAAACAACAGTTTTCTCTTTTGTGTGTGCCAGTATCCATTCATGTGTTTTTTATTTCAAGATCTCAAAACCCCAGACTCGGTAACTCAACTACAACCACAGAGCAACTGGGTGAGAAAGAAGCTGGAGGATACCAAGTGTTCACTCCAGGGGGGAAGTAGAGCAATGTAGTTCCTCAGTTAGGAGCAAAATGGAACTCTTCAGTGGCATAAGAGCGAAGTCATCATGAGGTATCATGCTAACTCCAACATCAGGAGAGGACACAGGGTGGCAGGACTTCCCAAGAGAGGCCATCAGCCTTCCTGTGCTCACAGCACTGCCTGGGCCCACAGCCAGGAAGAGAAAAGCTGCCAACTAGGCATGAATGGGAAAACTCAGGAAGTACAGAAATGTAGCACTGAGATGACTTTTTCTTGTACCCTTGACTGAAGAGAACTGGGTTAGGACTTTCTTTTCCCAGAGTGGAAGTCCAAGGTTTTCATCAAGAGGGCATTTTAGTGCTGACTAAACAAGAGCTTCTGGAAAACAAGGACAGCTTATTTCCTTCTCTGTAAACCCAGGTCGTGAGCAGGACCACATGCCCGGTGAGCAGTTATCATTTCTCCCAATCACAGAGCTTGGGAAACGCTATATAAGGAAGAATCTTTCTTAATTGTGCCCTAAATTTATAAGAAGTTAGGACTAAATGAGGTATTTAGGAGTAGAAAAGACTAAGGATTTTTAAAAGAACAGTGTCCAGACAAAAGTTTCCTTGGAAAGAGAAGCAATGCGAAATTGGACCTGGAGTGTCCAAAGAAGCAGCCTGCAGCACTGGCTGTCCCACACCTGGGTGAGCAGCCGCGAGCAGGTTGTGTTCCCTGCTGCAGCCTCCCCTGCCCTTGTCACAAATGGGAGGGTTGGACGATGTGTTCTAGAAGCTCTGAAGTTTATCAAGAATATCAGAGCCAAGCACCCTCACCCTCTGCACCAGGCAAGTTAGAACGAGTTGAGAGGGTTGCTCAGGCCAAGGCAGCACCTGTGCGGCTTTGGGAATGAGGGCGCAGGGCGCTGGTGCTCCTGGGGGTGGCTGGGGAGGGGACAGCATCTGCATTAGGAACCTGCTTCTGTCCTGGCTTCTATCCACAGGCAAGCACATCCTCAGGCATCTGTCAAGGGCTTAGAGCACTGCGTCTAAAGAGCCTTTTCTATGCTTCTTCCTGCTGTTTTCCCTCATCATCGCTGTCCTTATTATTGTTGTTGTTCTGTTTCATCCGTTTAACTCTTTAACTGTGGAATAAGGAAGATAAGAATTGCCACATTTTATAGATGGAAATTTAAGATAAAATGATTCGTCCAAAGTCAGACTTTGGCTTAGAAACAGAGTCGCCTTGCTTGGGTCGCAGCTTCTTTGTCCTGCACAGTACTTATGAAGAAGATCTAGATACGCGTGTCCTCCCTCTCCCACACTCTCCTTAGAAGCGAGGGCTGTGTCTCATTCATACCTGCATTTCCTATGAGGCCTGGCACAGAGCAGGCCCTCACAAATTAACTGAGCTGGATTTCCATGAATGTTTTCCTGTTTGATCCTTTTCAGGGGAAGCAAGCACCCACCTTAATCCCCCATATATTTTCCATTTCAGAAAAGAGGAGGACATGGATCACTTGCTCAGGTTCACAATGTACCCTCCTAACTTTCCAGTTGACCCGTGTGAGGATGGGTTGTAGTTGGGACCACTCCTAAAATGAAGTCTGGTTTCTGCCCTGTAGCCTGGAAGGACCCCCATCCAGCTCCTGGCAATGGCTTCTGGCCTCTTCTTGAATAGCTGGGGACACTGTCAGATAAAACTCTTGTATTTTTTTAAAATACAACTTTATTTTTTACTTTTTTATGTGGTACTGAGGATCAAACCCAGTGCCTCACATGTGCTAGGTAAGCACTCTACAACTGAGCCACAACCCCAGCCCGAGTCTCTTGTCTTTGTGGCTTGCAGTGAGCAATAGGGTTGCCACGGGGTGGGCGCCAGGACAACCAACATCCAGGGTGATTGTGCTGGACCCCTGATTCCCACTAGTCTCTGTTGGGCCCATTGTAACTTGTGGTTATAGTAGCCCTGACCTTGCTGGCAGCCACACTGCAGGCTGCAATTCTTCAACTGAGTCTCAGCTTTCACACTCTTGCCAAGTGCTCTGCTGCCACTCTGCTGGGAGTGACTCTTCTAAAGGCAGCATTTATTTCCAGCTACTGTAAACACTTGATTTTGCTTTGGATTTTGATTTCACCTCTTCAGTTGGTTGGATTCATCCCATGATCATGATAAAGGAGATCATGTGTATCTCACAGTTTGTTTACCCAAATAAAATCAAGAGATTATTTCTTTCCAGTTCATGGGTTTTCCTTCTCTAGGCAAAAAGAAGTGGACAGAATTTCTGTTTTGAAATGTATCAAGAGATTAACGTGGCCCAATTCAAAATGGCTCTTGTGACTTCTGAGTGGGGATTATAAATCCCAGGCCATGCGACCTGCATTATTCAGATCCAGAACTTTAAAAAAGTAAAAAGGGCTGGGGAATATAGCTCAGTGGTGGAGCACCCTGGGTTCAACCTTCAGTAACACACACACACACACACACACACACACACTCACAGAGTAGTTTTCAAATGTATACAATAGTAGAGAGAGGATGAAATGAGTTTGTATTTCCCAGTTTTGAAAGTGCAGAATTCACAACCTGTCCTGCTTCATCTCCCTGGATAACTCTGAAACAAATTCAGATAGATTTCACCTGCACATATTTCATTATGTTTTTTGTTTTCATTTTGGTGGTACAGGGGTTTAAGTCCAGGACCTTGGCCATGTGAGGCATACCCTCTACCCCTGAGCTACATCTCTGGTCCTCATTATATATTTCTAAAACACGAGGAGTTTAAACAAAACTAGAATACCATTATTACCCTTAAAAAGTTAATACCTTAATGTTATAAAATTTAATTAGCATTTGGATTTTTAACTATTTAATATTTTTAACTATTTAATATTTTTAACTATTTAATAGTTGGTTTGCAAAATTCAGGATTCAATAAGGTCCACAAACTGCAAGCAGTCACTGTGTTAGAGCTCAGATTACAGTTTGATGGTGCAATGCTTCAGCAGAGTCCTGGACCCCACTCCTAACAATGCTCAAAGGCTTGCAGCCAGGCTGATTTGCCCTCAGTTGGTCAGGAAGCCCCAGGTTTCAATCACCACCATCCTGAGTTAGACCCTTGCCACATCATGCTGCTTCCTGCAAGGGACCCAGCATCAACCTTTATTGTGACACCATCAGGCTCTCTCCTGTTACAACCAGATTAGTCTTGCAATAGTCCTGCTTTGGAGGCACCACCCACCCACACACTTCCTTTCTCCCCAGCATGTCCTGCCTTTCTCCCAACAGGACAAAGCAGAACACCCCAGTTGTTTTTCATGACCTCAAAATGCCCCAACCTGTCAAATGTTTTCAAGGACTCTTACACCCCTCTTCAGCTGGTGTTGCCAACCTTACTCGGGATAGGCTATGACCATCAACCTTCCCCAAGGTTCTTATGCTTAAAATCTGCATGAAATGCCTTCCTTCTTCTGCACGTTTCCAAAGCTCATCCATTTTTTACAGTCCGGCTCAAGTCCTGCTGAAGGGCCTCCAGGGCCCTCTTCTCCCTGGCTGAACCTCTTGACCTACTCATGGTTCATATAGTCACACAGTGACTCATCTTTAGTCTGATTCGCCTGTGACTACTATCTCCAGACCAGCACATAAGCCTGTTCC